GCACGTTTCCCACGGATCAGGCGCATTGATTGGACTCTCTTTAATCGGGAAGTGACAAAGGAAGAGGTTTACGAGGCTGTTTGTGACATGAAACCTTTCAAAGCCCCAGGTCCAGATGGTTTTCCCGCAGGGTTCTACCAGCACACGTGGGAAGTGACTGGGGATAGCATTTTTGACATGGTCTCTTAGGCTTTCAGGCATGGGCGGATACCAGAGGGTATCAATGACACCCTTGTGGCTCTCATCCCTAATGTGCAGATTCCGGACACCATTAAACAGTTCCGACCCATAAGCCTTTGCAACGTAAGCTATAAAATCCTTACAAAAACCATTACCAACAGGTTGAAAAGCATCCTTCCTCGGATGGTGGGACCGTTCCAGAGCTCTTTCGTCCCAGGAAGACAAATATCTGACAATGTGATCATCTACCAAGAAGTCCTCCACACAGTGCGGGAGTCGAGGGGAAACAAAAAGTACATAGCCATTAAACTGGACCTAGAAAAGGCTTACGACCGGCTATCATGGGATTTCATCAAGGACACTCTTGAGCAGGCCGGTTTCAACGAAAGGTGGAGAGATATTATCATGACATGCATCACAACTCCTAGGCTTGCCATCATCTGGAACGGGGATAGACTCGATCCTTTTAGGCCTGAAAGAGGCATCCACCAAGGGGACGCCATGTCACCTGCCATTTTTGTGCTTTGTATGGAACGCTTGAGCCAGTTGATCGTCTCTGAGGTTGAAAGCCTTAGGTGGAAAGGAATTAAGCTAGCTGCTTCCGGCCCAACTATGTCGCACCTCGGCTTCACGGAAGACATGGTTTTGTTTACGGAAGCTTCTTTGGACCAAGTGGAAATTGTCCAGAATTGTCTAGCCAAGTTCTGCATGGCATCCGGGCAGAAGGTCAGCCTCGAAAAATCTCAGATACATTTCTCCAAGAACACGGCGCTAGGCCTTGCAACCGAGATAGCAAGTAAGTTTGGCATTGCTGAAACCAAGGATTTGGGGCGGTATCTTGGTGTGCCATCCATTCATGGAAGGGTAACTTGTAACACCTATGCCGGACTCCTTGAGCGCATTGCGGCTCGTCTTGAGGGGTGGAAATCCAAAACCCTTTCTTTAGCGGGAAGAGTAACTTTGGCGAAGTCCGTCCTAAATGCTATTCCTGTTTATACAATGCAAACTGCAGCCCTTCCTAAGGGTATTTGCACCGAGATTGAGAAGAGAACTAGGCATTTCATTTGGGGTAAAAACGAGCAGACCGGAGGTGATAAAATGAGTCTTGCCAGCTGGGAAGTGGTGACCAAGGCAAAAGAGGCGGGAGGGCTTGGTTTGCGACGTTTGCACGATGTGAATATTGCATGCATGGTAAAACTAGGATGGCTTTTACATACTGAACCTCATGCTCTTTGGGCGCAGGTTCTAACCTCCAAATATAGCAGCATGGAACATGCAGTAGGCAGAAGAAAAACTTCCAATGTTTGGAAAGGCATAAATATGGCAAAAGAGTTCCTCGACAACGGCCTCACACACTTAGTTCGCGATGGAAGTGCTACCCAATTCTGGATGGACAAGTGGCTTACACCCAGGCCTCTATATGATCAGCTCCAAATCCCTTTGAGTCTCCCTGACCACTACGCGACTGTGAATTCATACTGGGATCAGGACCGAGGGTGGAAATGGGAAAAGCTAGCCAATACTTTGCCATAGGAAGCCTTGGAGCGTATTGCAGGATATAGGCTGACGGAGGCTGGCATCCAGGATGAATGGGGATGGGGACCGGGCCGCCGGGGGCATTTCTCGGTTAAATCTGCGTACGCCCTCATCACCAATGCATCTGAAGACTCTGTTGACAAGGATTGGAAGAGAGTTTGGGCTCTTCAGGTGCCGGCAAGAGTCTCGATGTTTTTGTGGCTTGTAAAACTTGAGAAGATCCTTACCAATGTAGAACGCGCCAGGCGCCACCTTACCACTAACGAATTTTGTTTCCAATGTGCAGGGAAGTGCGAGGATTTAAACCACCTCTTTAGAGATTGTATAGCAGCGCGGCAAATTTGGAGCGAGAACCTCCACTGGCAAATGGCGGACAAACTGCGACATTTAAGCTGGCAGGAGTGGTTTGCGGTGAACTTGCAGGGTGACGCGAAACAAGGGTTCGAAGAAGGATGGCCTGAACGCTTCGGGAGTAGGCTGTGGTGGATTTGGCGATGGCATAACGATGAGGTTTTCAATCATCAATCGATCCCAAACGCGCAAAAGTTAGAATGACTACGTAGATATGATGCTGAGTTGGCCGGGGCTTTCGCGACGAAAAGAAGACCTCTCAGTAGGAGACTGGCGGTCGTGGAAGCTAGATTGGCTTGGAAGAAACCGCCAAGGGACTGGTTGAAACTCAACGTGGATGGAAGCTGTAAAAGGAATGGAGTTGCACACTGCGGCGGTGTCCTACGGGATGACCTTGGCGATTGGCTTTGTGGCTTTACATGCAGAATAGGAAGGTGTTCGATAGAAGCTGCAGAAGCTTGGGGTGTCTTGCATGGGCTCTGCATGGCGAAGAATTATGGAGCTACCAATATCATCCTCGAATGCGACTCGAAGACCACAATTGCGAGTTTGCGCAAAGGAAAAGATTGGCATGGACAAGATGACAACATTGGCAGGCTGTGTTTAAGACTAGTGGCAAATTTCTCAGAGGTTAGATTTGAGCATATATACAGAGAACAAAACAAGTTGGCTAACAATTTGGCTTCATGGTGACTACGGATCAACAGGGGTTACACATCTTCGATGAGCCACCTCCGACGCTTGAGTGTGTGATCGAACTCGACATGATTGGAGCATCCTCAACGCGGCGTGTTTCTCAAGCTCCCTCTTCGGGTGCGTGAAGCCTTTGTTTCTTTGGGTGTCCCCCTCAACTCTAACAAAAAAAAAAAAAATATCTTTTGACATTTCTGAATAAAATCCCAACTACGACACCCGCGTTCTCTAATATAAGTCCACATTAGTCCAAATACTAAAAATATTATTGAATTCACATTTCCGCAAATTATGCTGTGGAAACGTGTTCACCATGCGCATGGTGAATACAAGGGTAGATCCATAATTTTTATGCTGTAGATTTATAATTTTGTTTTTCATTTGTTGTTAACGACTTTTCTCTCTTCGCAATCGCATTATTTTATCTTCGCAGTACATATATTATGAATCTACAGTACATAAATTATGAATCTACAGTATGAAAATTATGAATCTACAGTACAGAAATTATGAATCTAACCCGTGTTCATCATGCGCATGGTGAACACGGTTCCACAGCATAACTATTGTCACATTCATAGTGCAGTGACGTCATAGAAAACTTTACTGAAACACAAAGAGTTAACAATGCCTCCACTGAGGCTCAAACTCACAACCTTCCAAATAAAAATCCAACCCGGATACCATTAGACCACATAGTCTTGGATATCATTAAAATTTTAATTATACTATAATTTCATTCTTTGACAGTATACGTTGATGAATTAGCAAATTTGGCATACAAAGTTTCCGAAATATATAAACGGAGAACAGAAGATCACTCCCTACAAATCCTATATATAAATACCGACTTCCAAGCAAATAAATGGACATTCCTTGTTTGACTGCATTGCAAAAAACAATCTAACATTTCGTTAAGTTTTGAAAGAATTAGAACAAAGGAGGAGACTTCCGAGTTAGCTATTTAAGCCTTTGAGCACTTGTTGTAGTGGCGTCCCTGATGGCTAGTGCTTTAATTCTTCCACCCAACCTATCAAAAGCTGCATCTATATTAATTTTCGTACCCTATTTAAGGTTTAGGCCATGTTTGCACATATGTCTGAAGTCTGAACCAACCTGCTGAACAACTTTTCCCTTACTGTCCCTTGAATTATATTTATTTATAATTCTCTACATTCAAATTTACATTGCAACTACACATTAAACAAACTATGTATACAGATTCAATTTAAAAGAAAATCAATTGTAATAATTAAATATTTGCCAAATAATAACATCAAACAATATTAAAGTACAAAAGTCTCCATATTATTTGAATTACAACATAACTAAGTACTTTTACATAAAACAATATGACCCTGTTTGGTAAAATGGTTGTTAGCTGATAGCTGTTAGCTGATTGTGTTAATTAAAGGATATAAATAGTTAATAACATTAGCTGATTTTAGAAAAATGTTTGGTAAATTAACTGTTTGCTGATAGCTGTTTGGTATAATTTCTTTTCTTAAAAAGCTAATTGAAAAAGTTGCTTGGAGTACCTGTTTGAATTTTAGCCTTTTGGAGTTGCAAAAAGCTAATTGACCAAACATCTATGTTGATATTTTAATTAAATCAAACAATTAATAATGGTCAAATGAGGCAAAATTGGCCTATAGGCCAATTTTTTACCAAACAGGGCCTATATCCATACTTGATATCTTTGTATCTATCGATATGAATTGATCAAGTTTATTAATAGGAGTGTATACTTACTTCTTCACATGTACTTTGACAACTACAAAATTTGTATCTATGAACATGAATATAACAAAACTCTCAAACTCTCAACAAAGCACTGAACGGAGATGTTTTTCAAGATTGCAGGCCACAAATTAACTATAGTTGAGATTGATGCTACTTATGTTAAGCCCTTTGAGACAGAAACCATTTTCTGGATCAAATTGTGATCCAAGGAACTCATGTATATATAAATGCTCTTCCAATTCCTGAAGTTCCTATTAGAATTGTAGGCTTTATTGCCTGAAACGAGAGAAAACACAACATAAGTGCCTTTGAGTTGACAAGTTAAATCTTTTTTCAAACTAAGACAACAACACACAATATAGTTCTAGCCTTCAGTGGTTCCAACAAAATGTGATTTATACAATTGCATAATTCTAGCATTGTAAAAATTCATTTAAAGATGAACAAGCTCACGGCTCACCTCCAACGCCTAGGAACAAGAAAGTTTGGTCAATTAACCTGTTCTGCCATTTTGTGCTTAAGGACCTCATCTTTGTCAAGAATCTTCACAGCAATCTAATAACATCCAACCAAAAGGGTTTCTAAAATTTAGGAACCTCTTTTTTCAGATTAAGTCCCCTACACCCAGTTAAACTACAAGACTATAACAGTTTCTTGAGAAACATCTTCTTCTTTTTTAAGATCATGATACTTCGAAGAAAGTAACAAAATCAAACAATCACGAATGGTTCACTTCTAATTTTGGAAAGGGTTACTTTGAATCCAAGGTTAATTTGTGAACAGATCTAATATATTTTGTAGTCCGAAGACATACCTTGCCTTTACCAGTATAGTCGGTACCTTCTTATCAAGATGAATCTGCCGATTTAACATCTCAAAATCAGAAAAAAATAGATAAATCGGAAACATTGTTATATTGTCTGTACACTTAAAAAAATTTTATACCCAAAAATTCTTGTTTGTTCTAGTCTTTTTCCTGTAAAGATTAAGTGCCTTTATTATCTGCAAAAGAAAGTGGTAATAATCAAATATGTTATAACATAATGATTATCTTTAGAGACCAACAGTAACACAAATAATTCATGTACCAAATTTCTTTCATCAACAGAAACACCAGGAGCATCAGTTGATAAAGAGTCCTTTGACTTTAATTTGATGGTGATAGCATAGAGAACTTTATTTTATCTCCTTGACTAATTACCTGAAAGGACAAAAGGGCTTATCATGATTCATAATACCATTATTGCATAACCAAAAGAGCAATATATTACCAAAACAAAGACAATATTAATATACCAAATATTCAACTCAACTAGTTATTCCCTAATCTCATTATCTTCTGAAAGAGAGTAAGAGATGATTACATGAAACAGAGATGCCAAACAAGTTTCATGTCCCTTTGCACTTCTTTTTCTTCAAACCTATTTAAAATCCCCATTTGAGTTAGCTTCAAAAAACACACACAAACATATATTGGAGGAAACTTAATTGAGACAGAAATTCATTACTTTCTTCCAATAAGCCTCTTTACATCAAAATGGTACTCTGATCTCAGGGTTGATTCTTGGCTGCATGCCTCACCGATTAGTTTCTCATTGTCAGTGAAGGAAATCCATGATGGTGTGATACGATTACCTTGCTCATTGGCTATGATCTTGATCTACACGCTCATCTTTGTAAACTCCAACACAGGAATAATTAAGTTGTTCCAATAACAGTCCCTAATTTGGATGCTTCCTCCTTTGCGATTAAAAAGGCAAATAAGCTCCCTGTCAAAAGATACATTGCCAAATTAATGCATAAAATCAGTAATAATCAAATGAAATATGCAGGTTAGATTCAACAAACAAGGAATGCAGATGCAAAAACTTAAATTTTATCATTGTTTAAGCTTACTACTAGAATCAATTTTTCCTCCAACAAACACTAAGAGAAGAAAACTCATCCGGTGATTCAAAGCTGAACATGTTAATAAATTTACTGTAACACCATCCGCTCAATTTCTTCTTGGCTCAAGCGGCCTTTATCGTTAGTGATGGTAAACTTCTCAGATCACCTAGAGGCCTTGTCTTCGGCTTTAACGTTCAGGATGCCGTTAGCATCAACTTCAAATGTAACTTCAATTTCAGGTGTTCCTCTATTAAAACACATTACAATTTCAGATGAGAGAGAGAATGGAATGGCAACTCTCACTAATTATATTGGGAAGAAAATAAATAATATCCTTACCTTGGAGCTGGATCGGAGCTATTCTAGTTAGATCAAATTTTCCAAGCAACCTGTTGTCCTTTGTGAGACTCATTTCACCTGCAAAGATTTGCAGTACAATGCACAAATTCATGTTGGATCAACTGCTACTCTAGACAAGAACTAGATAGTATTACTCAATTTTACCTGGAACGGTGACAACTGCATCCTTTCAAGGTAATCTTTTCAGCGGTTTCATCCCAATTTTATCACGTCCCAACACTTTTTAGAAATTGAAGTTTGATTTTATTCAGTCTTGCTCCAACATCTTCTGCATTTAATCGCATTTGAGGGGATTCATCTGCACAATGCAATGCCAATTCTAATATGGAGGATATACACTGCAATTTCACATTCAAGTCTTCATCATCTGCCCTTAGTAAGTTGGGATCTACAACTTGAAGTACATCATGAGGCATAAAATCACTAATCCAACTTTTCATGCTCATATTTTCACCAAATGTTTCATCTGTTGGCCTTCTTGTTGAAAATGTTTCCATTAGCACAATTCCAAAACTATAAATGTCACATTGTGTTGATATCATTCCTGTGGATCCGTACTCTGCAATTATGAAAACTACCGTCAATCCATCATAAGATTTTGAAGAGAAAATGGATGACTAGTCCATGATAATTTTAAAATATTTTAGGAATAAATTTAATGAAAGATTACAATCGCATTTACCTGGTGCCATATAGGCTAATGTTGCTAGAGTTTCGGTATGTTTGAAGCTCTCCTCCTTAGTTAACAACTTTGTCACACTAAAATCACATACGTGTGCTACCATTTCTTCATCTAATAGCACATTTTCAGGCTTTAAATCACAATGAACCACCGGCACTATGTAACCATTATGAAGATAGTCCAAACCACATGCAACATCAATCATTATATTCAACCTCTGAACCATATCCAAGAAATTTGTTTGTGAATGTAGCCACTAGTCAAAGCTTCCATTTGGCATGTATTCAAGGACTAAGGCCTTAAAGTTATCATTAAAGCAACCAGTAATGACCTTAATGAGATTTTGATGACGCAAATTCTTTAGCACTTCACACTCAACATTAAAATTCTCAAGTGCATCTTCTGATTGATTAAATACCTTCACAGCTATAAGCATCCCATCATCCAAAGTCCCTTTATACACAGAGCCAATACTCCCTGAACCAACGAGATTGTTTTGGCTAAAGCAAGAAGTAGCCCTTGAAAGCTCATTATAAGAAATCCTTAATTTATCCCAAGGAAAGCCAATATCTTCTGTCATACATCGGACTCTAAGTTTCCTTTGTTTCTTTGTAAGGACAAATGCAATAACTACAAAAGTAATTATCAATGAAGCTCCAAGAGATGCAAGAACAATAAAAAGTCTTATTTTAACCCTGGAATGGTGGGTAGAATGGCACGGTGGTACGTGAAACCTAGGATTTCCACATAAATCCTTGTTGAACATGAATGATTCACTTGAGAAGTTCTTGAAACAACCAGCTGATGGAATTTCACCACTCAATTCATTGAATGAGACATTGAAGTATTTGAGGTATGCAAGTCTTTCCAAAGATAGCGGAATCGAACCAGAGTATTAAGATATATTTGTATTCTTGGTATGATTTGTTATATTAGGTAGTCATTAAGTAGCCTAGTCAATTAGTCTAAATTAGATTAGTCTATTAGCCTAATAGTTAGGGATAGCATTTGTATTTATATTGTTATCTTTCCCTATGATCAATCTACCATAAACAGAATTACAATCATATGGTATCAGTTAAGCGTTAGGAATTCTCTCCACATTCATCTTTTTCGTTCATCTCTTTCGTTCATCCATGGCTACGAACTCATCTGAGCACACCATGAGTGCTGCTACCACTGCTTTGCCTGCCACCACCGCGCCCAACCATCTCACCTCCGCGCATCATTTTGTGTCAATAAAGTTGACAATGCGGAATTATCTCTTTTGGCGAACGCAGCACGTTCCTTTCCTCCGGGGTCAGGGATTGCTTGGCTACGTTGATGGAGGAACGCCATGTCCACCGGCAATGCTTACTGTCGTGCCTGCCACCGCCGCCAGTTCATCCGACGAAGCAGCATCCATGGCAGTCAACCCCGCATTTTCTGCCTGGAATCAACAAGATCAGTCGATCTTATCCCTTTTGATCTCCTCTCTCTCCGAGGAGGTCATGTACCTTGCAGTTGGCCGCTCCACCCCAAGGGAAGTTTGGTGTTCCATTGAAACAACGCTTGGTTCGGCAACCCGCGTGCGCTGTCTAAATATCCTCGCTCAATTCCAGTCACTTCGGCAATGCGATCAAACTCCGGCCGAATATCTTGGCCGTGCCCAGTTGCTTGTTGAGGATCTCGCGCAAGCCGGCCGGCCTATGTCCCTTGATGAACAGAATTTGTACGTGTTTAGGGGTCTCCGGCAGGAATTCCGGGCGATGGCATCCACCTTGGCGGTTTCCGGTAATCCCGTAACTCTGCCTCAACTTTCTGATTATCTTCAAGCTCAAGCCTTCATCCACTCGGATGATTTCTCGCCGGGTATGGCTGCTGGACATCCGACGGCGATGATCGTGAATCGGCAGAATGGGGGCCGGCAGAATGGGGGCCGACAGTCTCGTGGCGGCAACCGTGGAGGATAGTGGCAGGGTCGTGGCCGTGGTGGAAATGGTCGCGGACGTGGTGGCTCCCCTCGCTGTCAGATTTGTCGTTCGCATGGGCATACCGCCGTGTTCTGCTTCCGGCGTTACACCGATCAACCCCCACCGCCGCAGGCCAATCTGGCCGTGAGCCAGGACGCCGGACCACAGCCGGACGCTGCCTCTTGGTTTCCCGACACTGGCGCGAGTTCCCATGCAACTCACGATCCCACCATGATGTCACACTCCGAGGATTACTCTGGCAATGATGTCCTCCGTGTTGGTAACGGTACAGGTTTGAGTATTTCTAGTGTGGGTTGTGCAACGATTCCATCAGTTTCTAAATATCTAAAAATGTCAAATATATTGCATGTGCCTAGTTTATCGGTTCCTTTATTGTCTGTTAATCGGTTTGCCACTGACAATAATATCTTTTTTGAGTTTCATCCAACTTACTTCGTTGTGAAGGACTGCATAACCAAGGGGGTGCTGCTTAAGGGTCCCAGTGTGGGTGGTCTGTATTCCCTATCTGTGTCGCGGTCTCACTTGGCGTTTCTGTCAGCCCGGACCACGTCTACTATTTGGCATTGTCGTCTAGGCCACCCGCATGCTCGTGTCCTCCAACATGCACTCAAGTCCTGTCCGGTTTCATCCCACAAATCTGGTTCACCAAGTCTTTGTTCGGCGTGTCAGTTGGGCAAATCCAGTCGCCTTCCTTTAGCTCGAATAAATTACACTAGTCATGCTGTTTTAGATCTAGTGTACTCAGACATTTGGGGTCCTGCCCCCGTTATTTCTGCTGATGGTTTTCGCTATTTCGTATTGTTCGTAGATGATTATAGTCGTTTCTGTTGGTTTTATCCTCTTCGTGTAAAAACCGATATATATAAAGTGTTTGATGTTTTTTGGGCCATGGTAGAGCGGTTGTTTTCCCGTTCTATCAAGGCCATTCAGTCTGACTTAGGGGGCGAGTATCGTCGGTTGCACACTTTATTTGACACTCTCGGAATTGTCCACAAGCAATCCTGTGCTTATACCCACGAGCAAAATGGTCGTGTGGAGCGTCGCCATCGACACATTGTCGAGACCGGCCTTGCACTCTTAGCCAAAGGGTCCGTTCCCTTAAAGCATTGGGATTCCGCTTTTGAAACAACCACTTACCTTATAAATCGTCTCCCGTCATCCGCTATTCAATTTAACTCTCCCTATTTCATGATCTACAAAAAGCCGCCCACATACACGTTTCTTCGAATTTTTGGGTGTCTATGCTTTCCTTACCTTCGTCCATATAATCGCCACAAAATTGAGTACCGGTCTGCTCCATGTGTATTCTTAGGTTATCCTGCATCTTTTAAGGGATATCGTTGTTTAAACCTTTCTACTGGAAAGACTTTTATCTGTCGCTATGTGCGGTTTGACGAAACTGTTTTTCCTTTTTCTACAGAATCAGGTTCACAGACGCACGTGCAAGATCCTATATTGGACAAACCATGGGGGTCCGGTCCTGTTGTGCCACAAATTGGGCATGTCCCTTCTTTACCATCCATCCCTGTTGTTGCGCCCCAACCTATTACACGTGCTCCGGCACCTAAACGGTGCAGGATGGTGGCTTCCACGGCCCAAGGGCATGTCATGCGTCTACGCCGTATGACGCGCGGGAATAATGAGCAATTCCATGCTCTCCACACGCTTACCACTACTGCTGATCCTACATGTTATACCCAAGTTGTGGTTCATCCTCAGTGGCGGGATGCTATGGACCAAGAGTTCAATGCTTTGCTCCATAACAAAACTTGGGATCTTGTTCCTACTAAACCCGGCATGAATGTTATTGGCTGTAAGTGGGTATACCGCACCAAGAGGAAACCTGATGGGTCCATTGACCGCTATAAAGCCCGTCTAGTGGCTAAAGGCTTCAACCAGGTGCCAGGGGAAGACTTTTTTGATACCTTCAGTCCCGTTGTAAAGCCGACAACTGTTCGCCTTCTATTTTCTTATGCGGTATCCCGTGACTGGACTGTGCGCCAATTAGATGTCCACAATGCCTTCTTGAATGGGCACTTGGCTGAAACTGTCTACATGCGGCAGCCACCTGAATATGAAGAGCCTACTCATCCTGATCATGTCTGTCACCTCCGCCGTTCTTTATATAGCTTGAAACAGGCACCACGTACCTGGTTCAAGCGTCTTCATGATTTTTTGCTTAGTGCAGGATTCTCAGCATCACGGACTGATGTATCTCTCTTTTACTACTCTGCTGGCACAACCATGGTCTTTCTCCTTGTCTATGTCGACGACATCCTTATGATGGGGAATGATCCTGCTCTAATTGATTCTATTCTCCACCGCCTTGCAGCTGTATTCAAAATCCGGGATCTGGGCAAACCGACCTTCTTTCTTGGCATTGAGACTTTATT